GTTACAATTACATGAGCAAGGTAATGAGTACATTTCTTATCAAGCATTGTTGCCTCCTCCTTTGTTTCCCCTTCCTATCCCTGCCCATCTCCCCTCCCCACTCTCCCCTTCCCCTCCCCCCCAACCCTGGCCAAAGTTGTAAAGTTCATTTTCAACATAACGTCTTGTATATCTCATTGTTGCAATGGGTCCACCTGAATCCCTATTTAAACGATTTGTTTTTTCTCTTCCCTCCACAAATTATACCAACATCAAATACAGTGAAAGCAGGGGTTATACCGTGGGGGAGGGACATACAAAGCAACAAAGAAATCATCTTATAAATATGTTAGAAACAATCACAAGGAAGAAAAAACATTTGAATACTTATCTTGGGGTTCATTTCGCCTAACCTCAACTTATCAGACCTTTTCTGGTTGCCTCATACATATACTAGTTTTTGCAAATAAGAGAAACCATGGAACCTATGTTTTTTTGGGCCAGCCTTACTTCACTTATTATAATTTTTTTCCAAGTCTTTCCATTTCCTAACAAATGGGACAATGTCATTCTTTCTGATGGAGGCATAGAATTCCATTGTGTATATATACCACATTTTCTTGATGCTGCAATAAACATAGTTGTGCTGGTAGCTTTAGTATAGTCTTGTTTGTGATCATTTGGGTAAATGCCCAAAAGTGGGATTGCTGGGTCATAGGGGAGCTCTATGTGGAGTCTTTTGAGGAATCTCCATACTGCTTTCCAAAGTGGTTGAACAAGTTTACACTCCCACCAACAATGCAGTAGGGTTCCCTTCTGTCCACATCCCCTCCAGCATCTGTTGTCATTAGAGTTCTTGATTATAGCCATTCTAACTGGGGTGAGGTGGTATCTCAAGGTTGTTTTGATTTGCATTTCTTTTATGGCTAGAGAGGTTGAGCATTTCCTCATGTGTCTATTGGCCATCTTTCTTTCCTCTTCAGAGAAGTTTCTCTTTAAGTCTTTAGCCCACTTATTTATCGGACAGTTGTTTCTTTGAGAATTTGTTGTTGGGAGATTTAATTTTTGAGTTCCAGGTATATTTTAGATATGAGACCCTTGTCCATTGTATGGCTAGTGAAGATCTTCTCCCAATCATGGGCTTTCTATTGATCTTGCGAGCTATGTCCTTTGCCATGCAGAAGCTCTGCAATTTCATGCAATCCCATTTGTCCAATGTTTCTTTGATTTTTGTGTTTCTGGGTCTCTATTAAGAAAATTTGGGCCTGTGCCAAGGAGTCCTAGGGTTTCCATCCTGTAATGTTTTCAGAGTGTCTGCTTTGACTCTGAGGTCTTTGATCCATTTGGAGTTGGTTCTGGTGCAGGGTGATATATAAGGATCTAGCTTTAGTTTTCTACAAGTGATTAACCAAT